CCTAAAGGGAGTAGTGAGCTTCAGAGTGATGCTCAAGGCTGGCACTGTCACCGCTGCCTTGGAGGTGTTGTCATCCTGAGTATCCATTGTGGATTTTAGAAATTTTTTTTAGTCACTCTAAAAATATTTTAGGGCCTACTTTAAGTGGGAAACTCTGTGTGGTAAGTAGAATGCAAATAAGTAAGTGCCCTAGTCAGCCCCAAGTGGTTTCAAAATTGAGTTTAAACTCTACAGATGTAAAAGACACTGGCAATAAAAGCTGAATGTTAGATGAGGAGCAGAGATCAATTATTTTAACGCTTCAAAGTGGAAGGGGAGATTAGTGCAGCATCCAGGAAAATGCAGGCACCTACACAGGCTTTGAAGTGGAATTCAGATCGTGGGGAAGGGAGAAGAGAGAAGAGAGAACTTGTTAGGAGAAGAGGCCCACATGAAGAATGAGTCAAGCTGTGCGGCAGTGGATTAATATAGTTGGTTTGTGGGTGGGAGTGGGAGGAGGAGACAAAAAGTTTTTAACGATTGCGGTAAAAGTCTACAAACCTGCCCCTGGATAGACTAAGAAGTCTGAACTTGCTCCTGTTTGGAAATAAGAGTCTACTGAATGCGTGAACACAGTCAATGATATTAAAGAGGAATGTTTTAGAGTCCTTTGGGGGCAGCCCTGATTGAACATTGAAGAAGTAGAAGGAGGATTAAGCAGAACAGTTGCTTTGTGCAGGGATCAGATGTAGTGGTGGAAATGCCAGGAAGGGAAGCGCCGTGAGGAAGGGCGGGTGGCAGAGCATGTCTGGATTGAGTGTGGGAAACCTCTGAGGGTGTGAGGGGAAAGAAGCAGCCCCAGGGGAGCTGACTTTGGAGGCAAGACCCAGGGTTTCATCATAGACATGTTGAATTTAAAGTGTTAGCTGGATAATGCAAGTGAGTATGGTTACTCACCAACTAGAGACAGAAAAACATTGGAGCAGCCTCCTCCTTCTTTCTGTTATTTGGAAACATACATTTTACAACAACTACTCATTCCATCAAATTATTCTCTAAAGATTATTCAGTTATAGTCAAAACCCCTCATTAGTGAAAAAGGCTGGGAGACCTACTCACACAAAGCTATGATTTAGTGAACTTGGATTCCGGTCCTGACTATCTTGAACTATGAGTCCTAAGGTAAGGTACTTCGCTTTTCCCTCTGGAATAGTTTTCATACCTAGACCAAAGTCTCTTCTAGCTTGAAAGTGCCTTGATTCCACAGTTGGAGGGAGGCTGCCACTATTGTCCTGCTCATTTGGATCACAGTACACTACTCATTTTCTATCCATGCTGCAACACATTTCCATAAACTTGGCATCTTAGCTGCAAAAATTTGTTGTCTTACAGTCTAGTGGGTCAGAAATTCAAAAGGGTCTCATTGGGCTGAAATAGGGTGTTATACGGTGCATTGTTTTCTGCAGGCTCAGGGGAACATTCACTGCCTTGTGCTTTACAGCTTCTAGAGCTTGTTGCCCACATTCCTTGGCTCATGACCTTCTTCCTGTCTTCAAATCTAATATGGTAGATCTATTTCTTATCCTATCATGTCATTTGTATTCTCTGTCCTGCCTCCTTCCCCGGCTTTTAACTACTTTTATGATTACACTGAGCCACCTGGGCAATTCAGGAGAACCTACCCATCTCAAGCTCTTTATCTCACCTGTGTCCAACATATTTCTGCCATGTAGGGTGATTCAGAAGTTTCAGGAATTAGAATGTGGTTATCCTTGTGAGGGGCATATATTGATATCCTTTCAGTTTTGTCTAATCATAGACAAACTCTATACCTTATCTCTGTATTGCCTTGATAAAAAGGATAACTTGTTCAGTGGTGCTTTAATTTTTATCTTTAAACAATGATCAAAGCAGTAACTATATTTGACAGGATTGTAAAGCTTGGTTAATTGGGTTTGGGAAGACAGGTTCTTTATAGGACAGAGTCATTTTTTTTTAGCTATTCCTTTGTAACATGTTTGTTTCAAATGAACATTTGTTGTAACAGTAGAAAGAACTGAGATAATGCCACAAGTGGAAATGAAAATTTAAGTGAGCACCCACTAGTAAGATATTAGAGAACTTTGCTTATGCAAACATTACTGAGGTTGAAAAAGGTAGAAAAGTGTATTAGCAAGGGAGTAGGGCAAGTCCTTTATTTTCAGTAAACTTTCCAAGAAAAAATCCACAGGCCTCCAAATACTGTATCACAAGTTGAAATTATTAATTTAGAGAATAATAACCAGCAAAGTTTTATCTTCATTACAACTGATCATGGCTTTTTATAAAAATAAAAACCTAAGCCTAACCCTAGAAAACCTAAACAAACCATTCATTTTATTCTAATTAACTAAATAATAACACAGACATTTTGCATTCCTGCTTGCAGCAAGAGCCAAGCTAAACTCTGCCCATGCAGTTTCTTAATGACACAAGGGAAATGGCTAAAACCACTGTGGAAATAGAAAATGCCTTTAATAGTTTCTATTATAAACTTTTCACCTCACAGAGGAATGGGTCAAAGCAAATTGGATAACACTGTGACCGCTTGCATCCTTGGTTTATGTATGTTTCTCTCTTCAACCTCCCCCTCTTGGCTTATGGATCTATTCTTTGCTCTGCTTTCTTAAGAAGGAGATAAATAAAATTGATGTGGTGTGATGTATTGTCACTAGTCTTTTAGTTCTAGCTGAGATATGCTACTGAAGGGCAAGAAGAGCTGCCTGGATGAGAGGGCTGTCTGTGGAATGGAATGGGAAAAGACTATGCTTACTTTTGATTTTGTTATTAGTTCTTCAACTGTAATTTCAACACTTAGCTATTATAGTCACATGTATATCTTTAGAAAAATACTTATGCATTCCTTTTACTCTTGGACATTAGAACTTTTTGTTGATATCCTGTGCTTTAACATTTTGTGGTCTATTGATTGTTGATATTACATTGTTTTCCCAATATGCTAAGCACATTCTTGACTTTCTGCTTTCAAGTAGTTCACCCTTTTTGAAATGTCCTTTTGCTTCCCCACAGGTAGCCACATCTGGGTCACTTTTCCAGACCCAACTCATCTTTTTCTTATATTGTGAAATCTTGCTGACTGTTCAGCCTATGCTAGTGTCTCCTTTCTCTGAGATCATATAGAACTTATCACTGAATTAAGCCATATGTTTCTAGTTATTTTTTATGTTTATTTCTTGTCTTTCCAACTGGATGCTAAAAAGATTCTTGACAGCAGGGATTGTTGCTGCATGTTTTGTACCCTTGGCACTTTGCCTAATGTCATGCAGATTTTAGAATACTTATAATTTGTCAGAACTCTTGATTGCAAGTTAGGAAACCCAACTTACACACTGACTCAGTATGAAGGCCAGGGATGGGTTTGGCTGAATATTTAATCACGACTAGATTTTGTTCCCACATTTACTACCAGGACTCTGACCTTTTAATTTAGTGTCTTTGTTTTCCTTGCCTTGGCTTCATTTTCAGGTAGGAGCTCCTGAAATTGTGCCCTTTGAGACTAGAGGGAGAGCTTCATTCTCTTAGTAGATCCAGCGAAAGTTCTGGGACTGATGCCCACTGGCTCTGTTGGATTGCTTCAGGTCATGTGATCACCCCAGACTAATCACAGTTGTCAGAGGGAAGTGGTTGGATCACTGCCTGAGCCTGAATTATGTGGTCTGTCTTGAGCTGACTGTGGAATTGGTGGACCACTCATCCCCCAAAATATGCACTGAGATTGGAAGGGCCAGGTCTCCAAAGGAAAAAAGCAGGCTTTTGTGCCAGGCAAAACCAAGATGCCTACTAGGGAGTTCAGGAAATGTTTGCTGGTTGGGCAACTATACATCTCTGTAGGAAGAACTCAGGTTCATAATTCCATTTTTTTTAAACCTTCATCTACAGTACTTATAGCACTTCATAGTCCCCGTTGGAGGTGCATGTAAAGGAGATAGGACCTGTAACTTTGGCTGCCCCCCGACACATCACCAGTGTTAGAAGGCTGTTACTCTCTCAAGGGTGGATTATACTGGTGTGCAAGTAGTCAAACCTCTACATGGGATATCAAAGTTCTTTTGTGGAAGAGTGAACAGGACAGTAATGAAATCTCTCATTGTGGTTTGTGATGATGTTGGTCAATTGGTTTCATGGTAAAACTAAGTAGTATTATTAACTGATTAAACTACTAGTTGTGTGTCTCTGTTTTGGATTTGCTCTATTTTAGAGCTATGTTGATTTCAGAAATTGATTATAAAGTGTATAAAGTGAGAAGCCTTTGAGATTGCAAATATTTCCCTTTCCTTTCTTTCTTTCTTTCTTTCTTTCTTTCTTTCTTTCTTTTTTTCTTTCTTTCTTTCTTTTTCTTTCTTCCTGTGCTGAATGTCACACCCAGGGCCTTGTTCATAATAGACTATAATAGTTTCATACATAAGTATTCAGGATATGGACATTAAATTGGCCAGAAACATTCTTGATTACCTATTTTGTGCACTGATAAGTAAAGTCAGAGATATTTGAAGGGTAAAATTTTAAGTCACAGAGACTTTACTATAAACACTTATGTATTGAAGAATTTTCTAGGCTCCCACCTGGTGCAGATTTTAATGGATATTACAGACAGTGAACCAAGATTCTTAAGAGGAAGTTCAGTAAATGTTGGAGGACTGACAATTTAACATCTCTGTCAAATAGGCTTATGTAGAATTTGTATCGTTTCTGACCATCTCAGATGCTCTATGGTTAGGCTGTCTGTTAATGTTTGTATCAAAACACGTATTATCTTTTATCATCTGAACTTTGTTTAGTGGCGAACATACCTTTCTTTGCTAGTTAAGTTTGTGTGTGGGAAAAGAGCAAATCAAGCATAAATGGAATAGTGTGTCCTTTAGGAGTCAATGTTCTGAAACCTCTGCAAAAGTAATTGCTTATTTTAATCAAAAATATTTATGGGCACAACCTTAATTTAATTTTTAATCTTTACATTTTAGAACTGCAAGATAAGCAAAAATCTACAGCTGGTACCTGTCCGAATATTACTTTGTTCTTACAAATGTTTTAACCAGCGTCAACCTAACCTCTTTGGAATTTCTCAAGAATAGAACAGGCAAGATGCTCCTTCAGTGCCTTCCTGGCTGCTCTGCACAGTCAGCTCATGCCCTACCACCGTGCCATGTGGTGTCCAAGCTCTTTGTTAAGCAAAGGAAGACAAATGTTTAGCATAGGAAGACAAATCATTCAATTACACAGATCCTAATTTAAGCGTGATAGTCTACCATTAGATTGTAAGGCTTCAGTAATGCTATTTTCCTTTGGCTTAAAATGAAAATAAAGAATAGAAAAAAAGAAAGAATGATCTGTGTGCCATGTAAGTTTTGTTTGTTTGTTTATTTATTTATTTATTTATTTATTTATTTATTTATTTATTTATTACTCCATCACTTTATGATCACTATTCTCCTTTTCTAGAAAAGTATTAAGAGAATTTGGTGGGAAAATGTGTTTATTTGAATGTTTCACAACTGCAAGAGAATCAGTTTTTGGTGAATCACCTTTTAATACTAGATAGTTCTATTTTATTTGTATAATTTCATTTGAGGCACTGAAATCTATTGACTAAGGTAAAATCTTCATTCCATTAAAAATGAGTGGAAGACCGGAAACTCAGGTATGAGAATTCATAACAGCATTTTTTACTGTTTTTAAAGCTTCAAATTTTTTTCTTTTAAATTTTTTTTTAGCAAGAAAAGCTGACAAAAGCCAGTACAGTTGTTGCTGAAATGAGAATTTGACTCATTTTTTTTTTGAGGGACAACAGAAAACTAGGAAAAGAAGTAATAAAAAGATGTCATGTATCTTGCATAGACCAGTGGTTCTGGCGAGTCTGATTTTGGTGAAATTTTTTTTTTTTTTTTTTTTTTTTTTGGTACCGAGAGTCAAACTCATGACCTCAGGCTTGCCAGGCAAGCGCTTATGCCACTGAGCTATATCCTCAGCTTAGGCAAGTCTGGTTTTGTACAAAACTATATTCATCACTTGAGAACTTGTTACAAATGCAATTCATCTGGCCCTCCTCTAGAATTACTGACTCCAACTCTGGGTGTGTGGCCTAGAAATATCTGTTTCAGCTAAACCCTCTGGGTGATTTCTTTGGGTGCTCCAGTTTGAGAACCACAATTTAGTCTAATTTGTTGTGTGTTCAGAAAAAGAAGACATTTAGCCATCATTTTATGTTTAAACTCCACTGGAAATATTTTTCTTCATGTAACTGTTTCTTAGTTCTTCTGGTAGAAAGCAGAGTGGAATCCTTTCCTCCGCGGTATTGTGTTACCTTGCTAGCTTGGCCTTCGTGAATCCAAGGCAGGACATATCCTTTCTGCCTTAAATGCTTCTGCCATAAGTGGGAGGCTAAATCAATGGAGCACAGCAGAGAGACCCTCAGTCCCAAAGGACAAGGTTCAGACTCTCCTCAGAAAAGATGAAGCCACAGGTAACTTTCTAAAGGGTCCACTAATCAAGAATGCATTGTAAACAAAAACCAAACAAACACATAATAAATGAAAGACATTGAAACATTAAAAATGAGTCACGGCAGTAAACCGTGTCTATTTATTGCTCAGTAAATTGATTTTGATTAGGGAAATATTTTCATATTATTTACTCTGTTAAACATGTTTTGTGTACTGTTTTAATCCCATGACCTCATCCACAATTTATGAGGCATTGTGGGATCAGAAAGAAAACTCTAAACATTCATCCATCTGTGTACATGTGTATTCAGCAATAGTTCAGTAGTTTCTGGAAGCTCAGGTGACACCTGATAAAGGTGTCGCATGGGAGAAAATCTTGGCTCTCAGCCTCTACCTTTGATTTTGTTGTTATTTTTCCTATCTCAAGGTACAAGGGTTTTTGTTGCATAATTCCATGAAAATTGGTCTTCCAAAAGCCAACAGTGTTGTCCTTTCCGTCCACCTGCTCCTCATAAGCCTGGTCCTCCTTGCAGGTTTGAGCTCCGTTGACATCTTCCCCTTTGCAAATGCATGCCTTAGGTCCATTCCTTGGCTTTACTCCCTATCCCTTTCTTCCTGATGTCCTGTGAGATTCTCAGAGTCCTATGTTCTCTTCTCTTAGCATCTTTTCTCCCAGTTTCATTTATCACACCTGTGGTGGCAGCACCTCAGTCTCCCTTCCTGTTTAACCCACGTTTACAAGCTCCTTGATTTCAGCACATCTAGAATAGAAAAGAATCTCTTCTACACAAATTATTATTTTTTCATTTATTCATTTGTCAAATACAAATTCATTGAAGATCTACTATTTACAAGGCACTGTTCTCTATTCTAAAGACATAACCATCAGCAAGACGAACAGGGGCCCTATTCTAATAGAGCTGATGTTCTAATGGGGGAACAGTAAACAACAGACAAATAATGTAGGTGATGAGTGGTTTGAAGAAAAATAAAATAGGATTAGGAAGATCGAGAATGGTGGTAGTATTTTTTATACAGAGTGGTCTAGGTCTAATATAATAGTATTTGATTAGGGATCTGGAGTGAGTGAAAGATTGAACTCTAAAAGGTATAATAAACAGAAATCAGTAGAGTATTTGGAAGGCTAGACTCCTGCATGATAGGAAGAAAGCATCAAATAACTGCTAGTGTGCTAAAGAGAAATCATGATCTGATGTCAGGAAAATTAGTGTTGCTGGAGTCATGATCAAGTATCAAGTGTCCTCATGGGGACCACACTAGGGAAGTCTGCACTACTTCTGCTGGTGGCTACCCCATATTCTAAATCATAATTAAATCAGAAACTTAATTATTCCACGTGGACATGCTTGCACATGAGAAGGTGTAGAATCTGTAATCTATCTGAAATGCTACTGTTGGGAATCTGATACACTGCCAATATTTTTATTTTCTAACAATTACAACCAATCCTTATCTAGCTGAGGTTAAAACAACTGGGGCGTTAACTTTTTTGCAGATCATGTAGAGTCAATTTTTCTCTTGTTTGTCTCTCCCATGGGTAGTCTCTGGAATTTTCCTTTTTACTCACATTTGCCTCGGAGGGAGAATAAAAAAGAAAAACTAAAGTCCTCTTTGCTGCTATAAAGTCTTATCACCTGTTTTATGGGCCTATACCAACAAAAAAGTTATGATTTTATTGCTGCAGTTTAGATATTGCCATACTTAGATTTCTCCTACAATCATAAATCTTCTAGCCCTGGGTAGGATTCTAACCCCATAAAGCTCCTTTCCCTCTGTGCTATCGTCACAAATCAGAGACATGCAGGGCCACGTACAGATGTGTCTGTTAATGGAAATAAGGCCAAAGGCACAAGAAGAGCCTGTTTAAAAGTCACAAGAAGAAATATCCTCAGAGGACCGCATCATAAGGCTGGGCATGTCTTCCATGAAAAGCCAGTCTCTCTTTTTCTTTCTTTCATTTCTTTTCTGAAGGATTAAAGCTGGCATTCTGAATCATGGCATGCCAATTTGCAGTTTAGGGTAGATTATGAATAATAAAACTAAGGGAAAAGTTAGAGCCAATAGATGGCTGTTAGGCTTCTGATATTCAGGTAACGTGCAACTATTACATGCGATGCAGGGAAAGTGTGTGTGTGTGTGTGTGTGTGTGTGTGTGTGTGTTTGCTTCTCTGCACATGCCTTTGTACTGTCTTTCATCCTTATTGTGACTCTTCTTTATTATTAGGCAGGAGTTGGAGATAAGAGAAACAGTTGACATTACTACCATGGCCTTCCTTTAATCTAATAAAAACTTCCTAGTCATAGTGCTGGGACTTTATGTTGTCTTTTAGAAGATTATTCTTAAGAAATCTTTTTCTATTACTTGTATAATTTTGCTAGTGTGGGGTCACACAAATGACCCAAGGTTGCTGAGAAGTTCTTTAAGGAGCAGAATTACTCTTTACAAAAAATGAAATTGATTTGAAGTAATTTTGTTCCCTGAATGTATTTTAAATGTACATGGTCAATTAAGTACTACTTTTTGACACAAATAATTATAGAACTAGATGCTTTCAATCTAGCCATTTTCAGGGATTGTTTATGTCAAATATATTGAAACATGTTATCTATATTTTCCTTCCTATGGGGGTCTGTACTATGGACCAGAGTTCTGATTCAATTTATTTTATAGACATACTAGAAAAATAGAGAATTTGTTATGAAACAGATATTTTACTGATTACACCAAACTTCTTTTCATGAGAAGATTGTATAAAAATAGTTTTCCACTCTACAGTATTTCTCACAGTACTAAGAACATTCACATTTGGTTGGTACCAAGAGAGTTTTAGGAATTCATGTCCCATAATCATTTCTTTTGAACATGTCTTGCTGAATTTCAGAAGCACCTAAGGAAATCAAAGTGATTTGATGTGAAAATCAGAGTGTTAGAATGACAAGGGCCAAGTGGAGGAAACCTGGTGAAAATGTCGCCAGACATCTTAACGTGGCCTATTTCGCGGTGATAGTGCTTGCTGTTTGAACATCCACAGGGTTCCAGCAGGCTTCTAATATAACTGTGAGGTTTCCGTATACACAACATGCTGATTTTTCTAGGGGAAAAGCACTTAGAAAATACCAGCGACTGAATGCGGTGATCTCTTGGGCTTTTTTTAGTCCCGTCATCCCAGGAAAGGCTGTGCTGTCCTGAAAGCTGGTGGTGAGCAACAAATGAAGGCTTGATGATTCCAGCCATAATGATACTGCTTAATGCTCATGGGGAGAACTGAAATGTACTGGGAATATGTCCAAGTTGGTACAGAATGCCCTAGGTTTGCAAGATGCTCCCACAGTCTGGCCCAATTATATTTAAATTGTACTTTTTTGGGTATTTTTGCTCTATTCTGGTGAAGAAGACACCTTCATGCAGAGGATAATTTATTTCAGCCTACTTAAGATTCGTCAGGTTGGTTCTAGCAATAATGCAGAGTGAGCCCAGAAGGACAGGAGGAAAAGTAATAGCAAACAAGGGGTGAAGAAAGAGGTCCCTGAAGAGTCTGTGTAAAAGAATAGTAGGCAGCTATGCCCTGAGCTCATGTGGGAAGGAGTCTGTAACCTGGAGTCATCTCCCTTTTCAGATCGACGTTCTGGGAACCTGAAAGGGTAAAGCAGCTTGTCCAAACCCCACAGTGTATCATTGGCCAGGTATAGAGTGTAAAGCTCCTGCTTAGTGCACCTTTCACTTCAAACGTGCTTATTCCTTCCTGAGAGTCTCCAAGAGCCAGAATTCTACACTCTCTCTTTTACCTTTTTTTCAATTTTAGACGATTAATATTTTTTCATAGTTTTCACATATTACACATGGATTATCTTGAAATATTTT